GGAAGAAAGGCCCCCGTGAGGTGCCCACTGCATGCCTGAAGAAACATCTTTTCAGATTAATTGACAACCTGTTGAACAAAGTAGGACCGTATATAAAAACAAATATTTTATTTTTCTCTCTGATTGGAGTTAAAAAATTTTTTTTTTTTTTATATATCTTCTGATGATTTTGTTTGTTAGTTTATTTATTTTATATATATATTTTATTGAATTTTTAGTTTTTTTGATTTCCTTCCCTCGGAATGCTGCAGGAAGAGCACTCATGTAGCCATGGGCAACAGGCTTTACTCTGTTACCAAGCAACACCGCCCTACTGTGTTACTCTATACAACTCTCAAAGCAAGCAAGAGTGTTGGAAAGTGTGTGTGTGTGTGTGTGCGCGCGTATGTATGTGTGTGTGAATTAGAGAAATGAGAGAAAGACAGAAAACGAGTCAGCTGGATGCCGAAGAGTCTCTTTTTGAGAGTTTGATGACATTTGCATTCGGGAAAAGATGAACTCCTGGCAGGTAGTAAGTAACGTGTTTAATTTGGCTTCTTTAGAATATTTATATTATAGCTAAACTCATGCATGGTTTAAAAAAGTATTACTATATGCTATCAGGCCAGAGAACAGTCTGTATATAAGAACATATTATTTGCATAGCTGCATCCTCTGTTGAAAACTGTGAATTGTACTCGTGAATGCAATCTTTTGACTCTGCGAACGCAGAACCTTTCTACTCTCTATTTTTTTCTACAAAAAAAAGATGACAAAAGATGAAAAGCTTTGCTTCTCTGATGTTATGACTGTTTTTGCTTGTTTCCAGGTCTTTGCTGGTCATTACCTCTGAGCTATGGGCTACATTCAGGTCGTTAGTTTCTGTTTGCTAATGTACGTGTCCCTTAGACAGACTCCACAAGACTAAAGCCAACGTTTTATTCCCTTTCGCAATTCTAGACGTCAGTGGCTCAGGATTCTAGAATTGGATAAAGTCAAACGGGAGAGAATTAGAGGTTAAAATACAAAAATATCAATTGGTTCATTCCTGGCGGTGGAGCGCAAAACGTCCCCTTTCCAAATGTTGTGTGTGTGTGTGTGTTCTCATTCGTCCACATTACAGACACGCAGCCCTGCATATGTTCTCAGTGTTACAGTTATGTTTGATTGTCACTTTTTAGAATCTCGTGGGATGTATTTTAATTGAATAGAATGTACTCATTCAGTGGCTTGTTAATTGTACATTTCATTGGAACAAACACATACACACTGCCCACACACACAGACAATACTTTTACGTCCGTGGTTGATGCTTTCTTACCAAAGCTACTCTCAAAATCACATCTGCCCATTGCAGTTACCTGTTACACTTCACTGTGTTTCATCTCATGATGTGTGTGTGTGTGTTTGTGAGTGAGTGTGTGTTATCCAGGCCATCGGGGTTTCACTGTGGTTTTAAGGGCAAGTCCCCCCCTCTCTCCCCCACACGGCTATGCTGTATAAGGTGTAAGTTGCACTGCAACATTGAGACGGAACATATTGCTCTTTTTTCAAGGTTTTCTTTCAAAAATTCCCCTTCTGTATATTAAAACACCAGGAAGAGCCTGATATTTATTCACAATATTATTCAAAGCTAACCCTCTTTGCTTTCAGAAATATAAATACATATATAAATAAATATATATAATACAGATTGTAAAATGTTAAACTAATAAACTGAGTTCTCTGCACTCTGCATTTGTGTTTTGTGATGCTTTCCAACTGTCTCATCTTGTGTGATGGTTCCAGTGTCCAGTGAAATCTCAGGCTGAAATGCGACTGCGTGTGTATGCTTGGTTTACCAAAGATTTCATGGGGCTTGATGGCTTTCTTATTAAAAGCAAGATCTTTATAGGGGGCAGTCGTGTCCTAATGGTTAGAGAGTCAGACTTGTAACCCAAAGGTTGCGGGTTCGAGTCTCAGGTCCGGCAGGAATTGTCGGTGGGGGGAGTGAATAACCAGCGCTCTCTTCCTCCCTCAATACCACGAATGAGGTGAGACCTTTGAGCAAGGCACGAACCCCCAACTGTTCCCCGCAATATGCAATAATGAGCAATATGGCTGCCCACTGCTCCGTGTGTGTGTTCACTGCTGTGTGTTTGCACTTGGATGGGTTAAATGCAGAGCACAAATTCCGAGTATGGGTCACCATACTTGGCCACTCTTCACTTCACCACTATTTGGGGCCATGAACAAAAGACAAAGAGAAAATCACTCACTGCTCTTACCTAAATAACTTTTGTAGCTTAAGTAAGAATCAGTGCATATTGAATTCATAGAGTAAATGTTAAATGTTAAAATGACATTTTTATGTAATGCTAGAGTAAAACGCTACCGTTCACTTTCAGAAGTTGTTGTAGGGGGGCTTTCTTCTCACAAAAAGTGAAACATGTATACTAGTTATATTAGAATCAGAATCCGAATGAGCTTTATTCACCACTTAAGTGTGCGCAAACACAAGGAATTTGTTGTGGTTTTACAGGAGCTCTTGATACATACATACATACAAATAACCATATATATATGACACAAGATAGTTATAGAAGTTCACAGAACTGACTCAGCAACAGCTGACTAAAACGGTTTCATCTGAGTATGTGGCACATTATCGTATCGCATATCGCATTTTTCTTCAATATCGCACAGCCCTAGGAGACAGAGCCAGCGGCGTAGCAAGTCAGCCCTGGACCCATATGGGTCATTCCGTGTCAACTCAAATTTTTTGATTTTGTTAATATTTTTTTTTTAAGAAAGATAAACATGCATAGTGATGAAAGCCAAAATATTAAATGCTATGGATGTATATTTACTGAGTAATCCACTATTTTCTAGAGGGGGGTCAAAATGGCAATTTTCACCTGAGATTTGGAGCCAAATTACAGGAGGTTAAAAAATTACCATAGGTTCATTACCGTGATATATCGCATTACCGAATACCGGCACAAGTCTAGGGTGTATTCACACCAGGAAACTCCGCTAGTTCACATGCTTTGGTCCGGACCAAATACAATGTTGATTTTTTATTTTTATTTGGTGTGGTTCGCTTTCACACTGGTTCACACATTGGTTCATCCATTCAGTAGAAAGCTGGCAGCATCATTATTTTATTTTTACACAGAGATTGGTAGGTCTGTTTGTAAAATCTGTTGACTTTAGCAATCTTTGTTTCATTATATGCCAACGCTGATAGTTAAAAAATTCTTCCTGTGTTTTTTGCCTCAAGTTTGCATGCCTGTAACTCTAGCCCCTGGTTTCACAGACAAGGCTTAGACCTACAATAATGTACAGTATTTGAAAAATAATGTGTTTTTTGAACATTAAAGCATGTCAACATATTCTGTTACACCAAATACACAAAATAATGATCTTTAAAAAAGCATATGACCCCTTTAAAATATGTCAGTGTCATTGTTCTCTCTCGAGATGCACACCTGAAAAGTTTTTCTAAGGCATTTTATTAAAGCTGCATAAGTATCTTAATTTAACTAAGGCCTAGTTCTGGCTTAAGCTAAGCCCCATCTGTGAAACCAAGCCTAAAAGTATTAAAGATATCTTAATATCCTTTTAGATTCTGGTTTTAACAAACTTTCATTTTGGTATCTTAATTTTAAAGGCCCTCAATGACTCAGTCCCACAGTAATGGGATTAGACCTACCAATCTCTGTGTAAAAATACAGAGCTTTCTAAAGTAATTTTTACCCTCCTCTAAATTGGCTCTGAATCATTATATGACAGTATATTATTTTCATCCGAGTAGCCTTATACAGCGGTGGCCAAAATGATTACAACACTAGTATTTTCAACAGCTAAAAAATTATTTTAAGTCAGTTATTTCTATCTTTTGCTGTGCTCCACACAGAGATCTGATCTCATCATCATCCAGTCTGTCATGAAGAAACAGAACAAACTCCAAGATGCTTCAAGTGACCAAACTGCAATGCTACCTGAAAATCTACACGCAAGTGCACCTAGGGTAAAAGCTGCTTTAAACGCAAACCAAATGTTGATTTAATTTAGTTAATAGAAGCTAATTATCTCACTGGATTATTACAATTAATAGCAAAATGAATGTTTGGAAATGCAAACTGATATTTCCTACTGACACACCACAGCAAAAGATAGAAATAACTGACTTAAAACCCTTTTTAGCTGGTGAAAATACTAGTGTTCTAATAATTTTTGCCACCACTGTAAATTTATCATCTTTGTTAAAGTACCAAGTCATCCAAATCCAACATAAGAGTAATTAATAGTTGTCTATTCGGCAATTTACATAATAAACCAAGGTGCTCTGCATAAAACGCAACCTTGAGTAGCATAACTCGCACTCTACCTAGTACTTTTGACAAGACGAGTCTAAAATGTCAATACTAAGTTACTGTATGCAAACAGTCTTGGCACGGCGGCCCCAAGAAATATTCGCAGACATAAAAATGTAAAATACATTACTCACTCGTTTTAGTTGCACTCTCCGGCCTTCTTCAGTCAAATTCATCCACAAATGTCCATGAGACTAACTTCTCTACCCTCGTTTCCCCACTTATGAGTTCGTACTTGTTGTCCATTAACGTTCTTTTCAACTGCTTACTACCAAGTACGGATCCCTGCACATATATTTACCCTGGCCATGAGTTATGAATGCGTTCCCTCGTTATAGTAAATCGTGGTTAATTTATATTAATTTAAATTAATAAAACGAAGGAACGAATATATATTATATTATATTATATGATATTATTATAGATGTGGTTAAATAAATTTTACTTGTAAATGACCTCATATGGGGTGCAAAAATAACAAATGTGATGAGGCTAATAATAATAATAATAACAATATAACAATCGTTGTTGTTGTTAGTATTATTATTGTTATTAACAATAAACATTATTTAAATAATAATATCAATAATTTATCTGTCATATGGCGTAATTTGGGTATTTATTATTATTATTATTATGAGAACCCCATCAGGAATATTCTCTCGCGTTCTGAGGGCTTTCATGACTCCTGCTTTCCGTAGTAAGACCGAAGGGGGGCGGGACCGGCATGGCGGCCAAGGTGAGTTACACTTCCAGTTGAGTTAGTTCAAATGATAGTGTGTACTATTTAATAATATGTGCATTCTGCAGAATAATAACACACATCTTGACAGGTATCATTTTTCATGATCTGCACGATGCAGCTGTTAATCAGAACGTAAGCACGGTGTTTGTTAAACTTAAAGCTTAAACGTTAAAGCTTAAACCAGAGCAAAGAACATGCTGTTCTCACACTCACTCTCACTGGCTGTGTCTTAAAACATAATCTGCTGCCTAGACATCACTCTGAGGCACCTGTCTCTAGTCAGGCAGCTGATGAGGTTTTGAGAGACGACATTAGCTGCGTCCCAAATGACACACTATGCACTTTTACACTATGTACTTATGCACTATGTAATCAACCATGTAGTGTATGAATTATATAAGGTTATTTTGTCATTACTAAACGGAGTCTGATAGCCCCTCCCCCTTCTCTACGTAATTAAAGCTGCGACAGTTAAGTGCATGAAGTGTCCAACGTTCCACACGGTTATTCGGTTAAGTGCATCATCCGGGTATTTAAAGTGCACCTTTTCTTTATGAAATGTTCAGTGTGAACACACTACTCGCACTATTTATACTACAAAATGTCATAGAATAGTGCATAAGTACGCGATTTGGGACACACCTTTTTTTCTCTCTTGTCACTCGAGACAGTAGGATTGGGATTATTACACGCAGTAAAGCGTCTTCTCTCGCTTCAGTCCAATACAGATATGTGCTTAAGGCAAGATCAAGGAGCTGAAACAGAGAAAACACTCAGCCAGGCCAAAGCTGATTAAGTGATGTGACATGTGGTCAAGTATGGTTACCCATACTCGGAATTAGTGCTCTGCATTTATCCCATCCAAAGTGCACACACACAGCAGTGAACACACACACACACCGTGAACACACACCCGGAGCAGTGGGCAGCCATTTATGCTGCGGCGCCCGGGGAGCAGTTTGGGGTTCGGTGCCTTGCTCAAGGGCACCTCAGTCGTGGTATTGAAGGTGGGAGAGAGCGCTGTACATTCACTCCCCCCACCTACAATCCCTGCCGGTACGAGACTCGAACCCGCAACCTTTGGGTTACGAGTCCGACTCTCTAACCATTAGGCCACGACTTCCCTCTCAAATAGATAGTTAGTATACCACACACGTTCAATGAAAAGTACACAACACATGCAAAAAACTTTTGCACATGAACCATGGTAGTACCATTTAAATACTATGGTATATGAATACGCAGTCATTTAATACCATGATATTATGGTCAACAACTTAAGTCAGTCTCTATTATTAAACTGTTGTGTTGATCCTCAGATTCTGAAGTATGCAGCCCTTCCTGCTGCTGCTGCTGTTGCAGTGGGTTTGGGCTCATTCAGGATTTATTCCATAAATGAGAAAATAAATGAGGAGCTAATATCTCCAAGAGAGGTAAGAAAAATCACTTTTGGAATGGTATATACCATATACTATTAGTACTGTTTTTGCGGTATGTATGTGGTGTGCAATTTGTTAATTTCCTGTATGCATGGAATACCTGAGTGACCTACTACATTCATCAAAATATATGAACAATGTACCATACAATTGTTTGAAATGTTAGTAGGAAGTGCAAGTTTGCACTTTAGACAAATTATGTACATTTCCATTCAAATGTATAGGGTCAGTAAGACAGTTAAGACTTACAAAAATTCTAAATAAATGCTGTTCTTTTGAATTTTTATCCATCACAAGGATCCTGAAAAAAATGTATCACGGCCTCTACCAAAAATAAAGCAGCTCAGCTGTTTTCAACTGATAATATTAAGAATTGAAATCAGCAAATCAGTTTAGTAGAATGATTTCTGAAAGATCATGTGACACTGAAGAGTGAAGACTGGAGTAATGATGCTGAAAATTCAGCTTTGCCATCACAGGAATAAATTACATTTTAAAATGTTAAAATAGAAAACACTGATTTTTAAATTCTGATTTTGTGAAAAAGAATAATTTTTCACAATATTACTGTTTTGAAAAATCTTACCCACCCCAAACTTTCGAATGTAAAGTAATACCCATGTTAACTATATCACCATGACCTCTCTCTTTTTTTCTGTCTCTGTCCAGTTGTCTGTCTACTCCCCAGATGGTCCTGCTGTGCGGTTTGTGGAGGAACAGCCTGGTGTAGTGCAGACGGGGCTGGGGGCCGTGAGGGTGGGCCTGCAGCCATACGTCAGAGTAGTGCAGGTGAGCTCTGTCACACTGTGATAATGACTTAAGTTCTCATTGTTAGTAGTGTGAGTTTATGAAAGATTATCTGTTCTTGTTTTTACAGAACACCTTCACTTCAGTCAAAGTTGGAGTTATATCTGTTTACCATGCAGGGCAAGGTGAGCCTGATGTTTGCAAATGAGCGAGCGAGCGAGTGAGCTAGAGGGAGGAAATGACCTGTGAACCTGCCCTTTAACTCTTGATCTTCTCTGGTTTTAGACTCGTATCACTTCCTTCGAGATCCACCTCCTGGCTTCCTGCCTAGAGTGGGTGTCATCAGTGTGTCCGGATTGGGTGGCCTGATACTGGCACGCAAGGGTACGTTTTGTTTTACTGTTTAAAAATAGAGCTGGGTATCAAGTTCGATACTTTTTAGACACTGACCGAATTGCGTCAATACCATTGAGTATCAAAAAATGTCTTGTCGTTCGATATACCAAATTTTGATACCTAAGGGTTTAATTTGGCTTTGGTGAGGCATCAAGGTAAAACACTAGTTTACGGTGCTTACATCATCATACGTGAGGCTATAGTGTGCAAGCATCAAAACACCCATAGATGAAAGGCTATGTTTACTCTAGAGCATTTTTCTTTTAAAATGAAAACAGTCCTTGTCCATACTGGTGTTTCCACTTCAGAAAAGATCTCCGTCCACACGACCAAAAACGCACGTATGTAGCACCATGCTACATAAGATAATTTAGAAGATTTATACAACACTTTTACTCAAAACTCACTTTAAATCACCATCGAGTGTTTGAAAAAAGTTTTTTTGAGGTAATGTAATATTGTTAAAACGGATTTCATAAAATTGGTATCAAAAAAAGTATTGTTCAGAAACCGGTATCGAAGTCAAGGTATCGGTATCGGTATCGAATATTTTTGAACGATACCCAGCCCTAGTTTAAGTGAATAGTAAGCAGCATCTGTGTAACTGTGTGCTTTTGCGCAGGCTCTCGTTTAAAGAAGATTTTCGTTCCTCTTGGTCTGGCTACCGCTGGTACTGCAGTATGTTACCCCACACAGACTGTTGGAGTCCTGAAGGTACATTCTCACTCTCTCGCACTCAAAAATAAAAAAAACCTACATACTTGATGTTAATTTTTCATTTTTTCTCTTTTTTTCATAGATTACTGGTAAAAAGGTGTATACTGTCAGTTCATCTGTTGCTTCAATGTTTAAATCCAAACCAAAGGAAGATGTCACCATGCCTGTTGTTAGCATGGAGGTAATCTACAAAGTTGCATATTAAAACCATGTTGTTTTTTAAGTGTCTGCTAAATGAAACAATGTAAATGCAAATGCAAAGTCCACTTGTAGAATTATTTTTTAAATATTTTGATGTATTGCAGTGTAATTTAGATTTTTACGTTTAATATATTTACAGTCTGCTGCCGCTGTAACAAGCTCAGATACAGAATCACCCGCTAAAGAACTCCCGCCCGAGTCTGAGCCGGCTGCTGCTGTTCCAGATCAGGATGTCACACCAGTAACACAAGTTGTCCCATCAGTGGATTTAGCCCCAGTAGCAGATGTGTCAGGAGATTCTGTAGAACCTCCTCCTGTTGTTGATGTAGCATCTGGAATCGCTGCCCCACTCTCTGAATCTGAATCTCCCCCTGCACCTGCTGTAGAAACTGCCCCTGAGCCTGTCCTAGATGCACAATCCACCCCTGTTCCTGAGCCGGCACCTTCTGCTGAAATGGATATTACTCCAGTTGTGGAGTCTGATCCTGAAATTGTCCCAGAAACTGCCCCTGCTGCTTCAGAACTTAATGTCCCTGCACCTACAGTTGTTATAGAGGAGGCCACGCCCTCAACTACACCTACTGTAGAGGAAACCACACCCCCTGAAGAAGCCAACTTAACCACAGCAGACGAGGAACCCACTTCTGTTGCCCCGCCCCCTGCTGAAAAAGCCATTCCTCTGACACCTCCCCCAGCTGAGGAGGCCCCGCCTTCATCTGAACCTTCTGTAGATGAGCCAGCCACAGGTGAGGAAACATATTTAGGTATGAAGCAAGTCTGGTTTGGGTTTAGCATTTCCCCCTCCAACTAGTCTAATGCAGCTATCCTAGATAATTCCTGTGGATCAACTTTTTTTATACTACCTAACAAAGACAGAAATGTTTAATTTAAGAGCAGAAGATGCACATTAAGTGTGTCAATTATGCTTTAGATATTTTATTTTATGTATTAATGTTATCATTCTCTTGCTGCCACACAGAATGATGGGAAATGTTGCTTAACGTTTTTGAAAGAAGTATCTTATGCTCACTAAGGCAGCATTTATTTGATCAAAAATAGTCTGAAATGTTACATTTTATTACAATTTAAAATAACTGATTTCTATTTTAAAGGGGTCATATGACGCTGCTAAAAAAGACCCTTACAATATGATGCCGTGTCCCGGTGCGACGAGACAAAACCAATAAAACCCATTACAAACGAAGCATTTGTTGCATCCAGTGGGGACATAATTACTGATTATAATGACTTATACTGTCTTTTTACGTGTTGCATCGCGCCGTGTAAACATAAAACCCTGTCTGCATTTGTGATCGGAGAAATGACAAACAACAAGCGCTACTCTACACTGCTCAAAACTCGCATTTGAATCATCAGTGGCAAATTCTTTAAATATGAAAACATACTTACAGGCTGTGAGTCAGCATTATTTGTCAGAACACCGGCATTGTAGGCTACTCTCCCAGGAAACAGTCCTCGTCCTCCATAAAATGCGCAGCACACATCTGAATATTTGGGTTGAACTGTTCTGGAACAGTGTTGTAAATACAACTTAACCACTGATTTCTAGTCGTGTCCTCTTTTGGAAGGCCAAACAAAGTAGTTTCGCTTTCACAATGAAACACACAGCGACTCCACAACATGGCGGTGGCGGCAACAGCAAGAATTAAAGGTACGTCTTCTTTCTTTGCGTGAACATTTGGGTGGTGTTATGCAAATCTTCCCACATAGTGATGTAGACATGTGGGGGCGTGTTTAAACGAGGTGTTTTAGGAGGGAGTGGACCAGTCTTAACTTTTAGAAAGAATATCTCTTTGGGTTTGAGACTTTAGTCTTTGCAACTTTAGGGATCTTATCTATTCATGAACAGCTTGTAACAGTCCAAAGAGAAAGGAAAACTTGAAATCACATCATATGACCCCTTTAATATATAAAAAATATTCCTGGGATGGCAAAGCTGAATTTTCAGCATCATTACATCAGTCTTCAGTGTCACATGATCCTGCAGAAGTCATTCTAATGCTGATTTGGTGCTCAAGAAATATTTATTGTTATTACTTAAAACAACAGCATATATTTAGAATATAAATCTTTTGTAACATTATAAATGTCTACTGATTTTCTACTTCACTTTTGATCAATTTAATGCATCCTTGTTAAATAAAAGTATTAATTTCTTAAAATAAAAAGTACTGATACCAAACCTACGTTCATGTGCATCTTCATGTTTAAGTTGCAAAAACAAGAATTCTTACACGACTTGACAGCATAAGCACTTCACTTCTCCACATACTAAAATCCACCGTCCGTCTCTTTCCATTCTAGTGAAGTCACGGTTTGTTCCTGACCCTTCTCTACTTGACCACGGCCAGTCTAATCCAGAGGACGCAGACATGTACAGCACACGGAGCTGAATGAGTGACGGAGAAACTGCACAGAGAGAAAAAGATGGAGCATATGATGAGATGTTTTAATGTGCCATGATTCCAGCAGTGTTTGATCGCTTTGTAATTAGGGTATTTAGGTTTTACCAGTGATGTGGAGGAAGGTAATGTCACGTTTCTTTCTTTCTGTGCTGCCTCACACTTGTGAGAACTTTCTTACCTCAGCAGGGATATCAAACACACACAAAGCCACATTTCTGTGTTAACACGTTATCTACATTTTGTTGACGCTATGGAGGAAAACCCAGGGTAACAGTACTTTAATAAAAAGCCTGTGGTCCCTTAGTTTAATCTCCAGATTTATTTCTGACCTCAATTCCTGTAGCAACAGGAATTCTGTGCTCATTTTATACTGTGAAAAAATTACATCTAAATCTGGACCACACACAAAAAAAAACTTTTTATATGACATTTGATGTGTACATGTATTTTCTAAAATACATTTTACTGGGGTTAGGAGTAAATATATCAAGCCTTATCTGTGTTTGAAATTGAAAAAAAAAAGACTAAAATAATCTCAGAATTTCTGATAACAGCCGTTCAATCTTGACCCATTTCAAAATAATAGTTCACTCTGCATCTTTAATTTCAAAATATTTCAAACATGACTCAGTGGTAACTGCTTTGCAATTGTGGGATTGTCCAGCACCATTTTGGACAGTATTTCTTAAAGGGCACTAATGTGTTTTTGTTAAAAGGTTTAATTTATGCTTTCTTTACATAAATCTTTATTGCCTGTGCAATAGAAAAGCATAAGATAAAAATAAAGGTATTTCAAAAATGTTTTGGGGTTTTGAGTTTATTTTTCTAAAATGTTTTCTGAAATTACAAACAAGCATATATTATTAATACAAATACAAAACACCTTTCCGCCCCATTTACACATAAAATCAGTTTTCCAGTCCCCTAAAACAACTGAACTCGGATAGGAGCACACCGATATCCATCATCTGATTGCACAGGACTTTTTTCTTTGCATGATTGTTTTCATGACGTGTGGCATCTCATTGAGTGGCATCAGGCTGGCAGATGTCTGCTGTCCTGTAGAGTTTGGAGCAGATCGTTTCTACCCTGCGTTCTCGGAGCAGACAGAGATCAACAATACACACCACGCGCTCCGACTCCAGCTGAGGGGCAGAACACATCAACGACCCTGCAGAAAAACACACACACTTTAGTGCTACAATATGTCACAGGGACTCACAGGCTATTCAGAAGAGATGGCGAATGTGAGCCGAACAGAGTGGAACACACACACACACACACACCTGGTGCGGGGCAGCTACCGTCTGGCTGCACACACAGTCGTCCTGTTGATATGCAGGACAGCAGGGAGTTGTCATGCTGAGTGTGCGGCACTCCAGCAGCTCTGGGGTCATCAGGGGAGATGACAGGCACAAACTGAACATCTACTGCAGCTCTTTGATTCAGCCCTGAGAGAAGAAGAGAAGTCTAGTTATTACCTGAAGCTATAGCTCCAGTCCACACAACATGGTGAGCCGCAGGTGCTGCTCTTACCCAGAATCGTGAGCGTGAAGTAGCCGGTGCTGGCCACAGGTGTGTGCGTGTGTGTCTGTGAGGTGAGATCGGGCGTCCATCTGGCTGGGCTCAGGTTCAGGTGATGTAGTAGAACTTCTCTGTCGTCAAAGTGGAATTTTTCAGGAATGCTTTCCTGATCGAGTCTACCACAGCAAAAGTGATCGGTCACTTGCTGTTTCACTAAAGGCCAGGCTCTGCTCTCCCATAATGCAGTGGGGTGGCTGGCAGCTTGCTGTACGTCTGGGACTCGGGATGTGTGGTCAATCGCTTTAGAAAATTTTTTTTTGATATGACAATACAGTTCAAAATTTTGAGATCAATAAAATTAATCGATTTTTAAAGTCTCATGCTCACCAAGACTGCTGTTATTTGATGAAAATGCAGTAATATTAAAATTTTAAAGAACTCTCTTTTGTTTAATTTATTTTAAAATATAATTTATTATGTATTTACATATTATATATTTGTGTCAGAGATGTTTAGAGGGTACAACACCTTCTCCTACAGCCGGCTGTCTAACTGATGCATGTTCGTCTTCAACCTCAGATTCCTCTGACTCCAACTCCCCTTCATCCTGTCGCTCTTCTTCCTCCTCTTCATGAGAGGAAAGGCCCACCTGCCTGAGGGACCAATCAGAAGTGAGATTTAAAGAAATCTTCTACCAAGCAGTCCATTATTGCAGGAAATAATTTTGACTTCATAATACCTCAAATTAAAAATTTACATTATGCATTTACGATGGAAATCTCTAGGGCAAGGCACTGCAATTTAAATAAATGTACATTATTACGGAAATTTAAATAAATGCATATTAAATGTACAATTTTCAAGTTTGAATATACATCAAATGAAATTTCAGTCAGTCTGACCTATTTTAATCTCAGCTGGGTAGAACCTCAAAATGCAACAGGCAGGTTTTCAGATTAAAATACACAATATTTTAAAGGAAAAAAAATACAGATGTCCTAGTATGCTGAATTACACAAACATATCTGAAATTCTGCCTAATTTATGAATAGGCTGAAGTGAGCCATGCTTAGATTACCTGTTGGACTGCATTTTGGATCTGGTGAAATACTGCCGATGCACTCCTCTGAATAAAGAAGGAAGAATATTTGTGGCACACTAATGAAATCAAAAACACTTTATAAAAAGTATTTACATAAATTAAGCAATATTCATTACAACCTTGTTTCCACATCTGCCAATGGTAAGTAAACCAGCCATAAATGCCTTACCTGTCAAGAAACCGTTTTATTGACACATGCCTTTTTGACAATGTAATTATTTGGCTTTAGAATTTCCTTAAAGGGGGCATAACACACAGTTTCACCCAATCTCATGTTAATCTTGAGTACCTATAGAGTAGTACTGCATCCTTCATATCTCCAAAAAGTCTTTAGTTTTATCATATTTATAAAAGAAAGATACAGCTTTACGATTCTCTCCGGAAAAAGCCGAGCTCCTGGAGGCGCGCCGTGGGCGGAGCTAAATAGTGACGAGCACTTGAGCTCTGACTGCCAACAAAACAGACATTTGATGCCGTTTCACTTACCGTCTGCAGTTCTGAATCATGACCGGGATCTTTTATAGCTGGGACCGCTCCATCTTTCAGTATCAAACGATGTGCAAATCCAGCGTCGAACTGGGCCTTGTTTATAAAACGTTCGTCAACAAACACACTTGTGAAACTCCATTGCTGCCCCGAAAAACAAACTGTATCCACTGTTTACATAACGCTGGGTTCTTTAGGATGCTGAACAAAGTTTTCTTTCCCTTACAACCAAAAACACACTTCTTTGGATTCGAGACATTCTTCCCGAGCAAATCCCGTGCAGCTCTGCCGCCAGATGAAAATCCGTCATACGTCCAAATTGTTTTTTGAAACTTTGTCCATGCTTAGCATGAGAATCCAACTCTTTAACAGTGTAAACAACTCTGAATGCATGAAACAGCATTGTACCCCCCCCTTTAAACATTTAAGCCGCTGTTTAATTGTTGGAGGTCATTTACAATCAAAAGATTCCAATTTCAAATAAATGCTGTTTTTGTTTTTTTACCTTTCTATTAAGCAAAGAATCCTGAAAAAAATTTATCATGGTTGCATCAACAAACTTTTCTGCAAGTGCTGCTCTTACCCAGAATCGTGAGCGTGAAGTAGCCGGTGCAGGCCACAGGATAAACTATCATAAACTATCAATTCATGATAGTAAAAAAAGCTGTTTTCCTGAGCACCAAATTCACATGTAATAATGATTTCTGAAGCATCATGTGACACTGAAGACTGGAGTAATGAACAATATCTTCAATATCCACAATGAACAATACCCTCATGGATCATGAATGCCTTACCTTGAACCTGTCTGCACTCTCCTGCGTTTGGGTGAGACTGTAATATCAGAATCAGGCGAGGTCGAATCCATTTCTCTCTGTGTCAGAGTCATCTCGTCCACTGTGGAGGGAGAAGTGTCAGCTCCAGTGTCACTGACTCCTCGTACGGAGTCACCCTCCTGCTGTAATGACATGCCATTATTTTTGTCAGCACATTTTCTAAAAACGCAAAGGGTAATGACAGACTGTCCTAATGGTGGTTGTTTCATCTTGATTGAGCTGTACAGACCTGTTGTTCACTGTGTGGTGTTTCAGGTTGTGGTGGCCATGTGTGGTACCGCACAGCAGCCACGTAACCCTGCACAGCCACTCTCCTGTGCTCTCTGTACTGCAGACTCTGCAGCTCCCCCTTCAGATCAGCCACTGCTGTAATTGGCTCATCTGCAACACACAGGAATTAATGTGTTTAGTGTGTTTAATTAAATCCTATTTCGGCATGAAGTGAAAATTCTGTCATCATTTACTCACTCATGTTGTCCAAACCTGTATGAATTTTTGTCTTCACAAAAAAGAAAATATTTGGAAGAATGTAGTTAACCAAACCGTTGCTGGTAGCCATTGACTTCCATAGTATTTTTTTCATACTATGGAAGTCGGTGGCTACCAGCAACTGTAGGGTTACCAACATTCTTCAAATGATCTTCTTTTATGTTCCACTGAGTAAAGAAATTCATACAGGTTTGGAACAACTTGAGGATGAGTAAACGATGACAGAATTTTCATTTTTGGCTGAAATATCCCTTTAACATTTAACAATTCTGTAGTCTTTTGAACACTGAAAAATCAAAAAAGTAAAAAAAATAAATTAAAAAATCTCAGTCGCAATACTGTTTAAATTTAGGAAGGCTAAATCTCACTGGTCATGTTGCGGTTGGTGGGTGGTGCAGGAGGGTAGCAGTAATGTCCTCCAACCGAAGTCCTCCGCAGCATGACACTGTCCTTCAGTGTCTTAGTCCACTGAATGAATGCTTTAACTTTTGGCTCATTGACATAGGGCTGCTTTTTATGACAGCCTGTTAAAGCACACACACAGACAAATAAATAAAGCTGCGCTGATTGTGATTATCTGTGACCTCATTGGCTGATTGAATGCTCTGGCTGAAATCTACCTGTGATGAAGAGCTGTGTTTCTGTGCTACTGGTCAGATACACAGAACAGCCCGTCTTACACACTCTCATCTGGGTGCACACCAGATACGTCACTGCAGAGCAAGAGAGATCATAAATAAGGTCATTTAGCAGAAGAGAAATGCAATGAATGTGTACACGGACTGCTGTTTTACTTGGGCAGATGTTGTTGAAGATCTCTGGCTGGGATGAGGAGAAGATCTCCAGGATGAATGCGGAGTCAGTTGTCCCATCCACTGCATGTACCCAACGATACGCCCAGAACTTTTCAGGTCCTAACACACACACACAAGCAGATGTAACGGTGGTTTGACCAATTCCCAACCCTAAGTATGAATGTAGCTTATATTAGCAAGCACTATTACTGACAACCATCTGTTTAATAAAAGACTATACCTGTCTTCTCCTTGCTCCTAATTCGCTCAACCCGGCCCACGTATGTCACTAGACCAATGATGTCACAGGCTTGGTTATTATTCATCGAGTCCACCTCTGACCTGATCACAGGGAGAGGTTTAGAAAATTGTTGATTGTTTTCATGACAAATTTACATGTATTGTAAATAAGACAAATCAATAACATAAAGGTATTAAAAACAAGCAATTAAAATCCAATAAAATAACATTAGTTATTTAGCTATGCCTTGTTTGCATATTTGCATTTGACACACACTGATTTATGCTACCATTCAAACAGTTGGTATCAGTAAGATTTTGTTTTTGTAAAAAAATTTTTTTTAAGAACTCTCTTATGCTATTGCTCACCAAGTTTGCATTTATTTAATCAACCATACTGCGAAACAGTAATATTTTAAAATATTACAATTTAACTGCTTTCTATTTTTGACATATTATAATACGTCTATTTTATTCCTGTGATGGCAAAGTTGAATTTTCAGCAGTCACTACTGCAGTTTTCAGTGTCACGTGATCTTTCAGAAATCAGTCTAATATGCTGATTTGTTCTGTTTAATGATTTAGTGGAAACTGTAATCATTTCTTTCAGGAAACTTTGATGAATAGAAAGTACAAAAGAACAGTATTTATTTGAAACAGAAATCTTTTGTAATATTATCCAGTCTTTACGGTCACTTTTTGAACAATTTAATGTATGATTGCTGAAAAAAAGTTGATTTTTGAGACACAAAAAAAAAAACTGACCCCAAACTTCTGAATAGTAGTGTACATTAGGGTACATTAGTAGTGTCTTGTAGGACGTCCTGTATTTGGACATAATGCAACCTGAGGGTGCCCTGAAATTTTAAATAAATCTGTGTACCTTGTGGCAAAGTTGTATGGGACATCAGGCAGATCCCACTGAGGCTGAACACTTTTTGGAGGAATCACTGTCACTACAGAGGCAGGACTTCGAGGATTCAGGCTGATCTCTACAAACCCACAGAACAACCACAAACAAAGAGCTGAAATCAAACTTTTTCAAGAGATGGTCCAATACTGAACCTAGGTGGAAATGCAGCATAAGAAAGCTAGCAACTAAAAAGCTCCGGAGTCATACCAATGGAGTGGAAAGTCATAAGAGAGAGTGTGCGGATATGTGGTCTAGAACGGTTTTGATAACTGTGTTTCAATGAGTACTGCTGCAGATACAGAACCGAGCCGACTGTCAGTCTGTTGAACCATTCAGGACAAAGATCATTCCATACAACCATAGACATGACGCCACTCTGATCAGCCACCTCACAGTACACCTGAAAGAGAGGAAGCGGGAGGAAGTGAAAGAAAGAGATCATAGCCCCAAAATGTTTGCAGTGCAGAAGAACCTGCAGACAAAAAGAACCTTTGACGTTGACTCACCTGAAATGGGAAGTCAATGTTTTGTCCTGGTTTGCCATAGTACCGTATCCTGGACCTGTGCAGAATTCGGACCAGCAGTGGGAGAGGCCGTCTGGAGCTGTGAAAGAACGCTTCCAGATCTGCCAGAAGTGTGATTCTAGACACTGACACACAGAAATATAACATGACAACCTATAATAAAAGATCACACATTCCTATTACACAACAAATTACGTGTAGCTGCGTTAAAATTATACTTAATGTAAACTGTCTCATTCCACATTCTCATTTCTTTTACACAAATTATTTGTGTTGACTGCATTTATTAAACTCAATTATTTAACCTTTAGAAAATAGTTTTTAATATATAAAAAGCATTCAAATACAAGTATTTAATTTTATGTAAAACAATTATAAGTTTATTAATAATAACCACAAGCCAACATTTTGGTGCTAAAATAACTAGCTTCAGAAAACATCAAATATAGTGAAGTTTCTACTACGTTAATGCTTCAAATAACTTTAGTCCAGATAAAACGACAAAATATGGGCGAAATGTTCCATCGTCATTCAGTGTAACAGATATATTCAAGTTAAAAAAAGAAACAATATACTTATTCTGACCTGCACAAATTAAACTTTGTACATACCAAATAAAAAACTCTTGCTGACAAATGGGCAAAACCTAGTGGTTTTAAGGATAGTGGCAAAGTTGGGTAAATAATTTAAATTACTTTTTGGGGGCTGCACTGTGAACCTTAAACAGAGTCTTTATAAAGTTTTGAAAAGAACATGATCTCATACCATCAATGACCACGTCTGGCGGTGAGCTATAAGGAGCCCAAACGCTTCCGTAAGGATCATCGTTTATCCACAGTGGTAAATAATATTTTCTGCTCAGCTGCAGGGGTCCATCGGACCGGGTCACATGGTCCTGACACCACTCCGGGATACTCCCCACGTCTTGAATGGACAGAAACCTCTCCGGGAGCTCCACGACGCTGTGGATGCTGTCTATCCTGATGTAACTGTGACTCAGCCTCGTCTCGTCGTGGACCATCGACAGCTGGGACACCAGGACCCCGGCCCCGCAGCGCAGCGAGCCCGTCCTCACCCACCGGCTCAGACTGTCCGCCATCTGACACTTTATCCGCCACCGGCCGTCCGTTACCGTCAGGTCGTAGCTGTAGCTCTCAGCGGCGGGATGCTGTGCGCTTAGGTAGCGGTCCAGAGCGATGACAGCCAGGCACAGCGGGCCGGTGAGGGTCAGGGAGAGAGTGTGCGCGGACCGCAGCTGCTCAAACACCGCCTGGAGAGCAGAACCGGACCCGCTGTCACTGCGATCCGCCGGGCCTGCCATCACTGAAACCACCACCGACGGTTAGAACGTCCAGATCCAGACTCAAACCTGTTAAATCTACATTTAACGACGTTGAATAAGTATATAAAAGCGACTGTTGATAGGAGACAGATACTCACTTAGCTTACTTATATGAAATATACAGGGTTTTAGATACTCACTTAGCTTACTTATATGAAATATACAGGGTTTTATTCATTTACATTTTGAAATAATATAAGTGTATGCGATTTTATTGCTCATGAAGTCAGCTCAAACCTCACGGAATGTAAACAAACTCCAAGCGCGCGGTGAGTTCGTGTTTCTTCTTCCCGAGCAACTGAACAGTAAACGTTAGCCACAGCGCCACCTACAGGCACGGAGGACACAACAGCGACACCTAAGTTCACTGACAACAAAGTTCTGCCTTTGATCCCGTGTCACGATTTGATCCACATTGAATACAGCAGGCCGCTTTTTTATGGTCATAAAGCGTATTACGATAGAAAATATCTTTAAATCTATATTGTTGGAGTAACACAATTTAAGAAGAAACAAGAAACTGTGGAATACAATTTGAAGCAAAAGGTGGCTTTTCCTCATTCGATATACTGTATATTTATAATATTTTAAATTTATATTTTAGAACTAATGTACTTTATAACCACATATGGGACCCTGGACCACAAAACCAGTCACAAGGGTCTATTTTTCGAAATTAATATTTATACATCATCTGAAAGCTGAATAAATAAGCTTCCCATTGATGTATGGTTTGTTAGGATAGGACAATATTTGGCCGAGATACAACTATTTGAAAATCTGGAATCTTATCACCACACATATGTTATTAGTAAATGAATGGTGTACATATTCAAGGTACATTTGAATTAATGTGTATTTATTTCACAAATGAATCTTAACTTTGACAGAAGTCAATATGAGCTCCATTTACACATACAGTAGCCAACAAAAACTGGTTGGCACAAAAATGTAGTGTTTTAGGAAAAATTACATCAAAGTGGCCAGAAAGAACAGTGTGTGTGCTAGTAAATCTTAGTACATTTAAAATAACTATTTCTGAAATTAAGTATTTCTGGTCAAATTTGATTTATTATACATTTCAGAGCTGCTGAAAGACAAAAGGTGAGACACCATGGCTGGTTCTTCATATATGGGTCAAATTTGAGATGGAATGCTTTCTTTTATAAAATTAGGGGGGAATAATGTGTATATAAAAAATGTATATGAAATAACCGTTTACATAAAATATAACAAATGTTTATATAGAAGTAATAAGTAATACATACATAATTTTAAATGTGTATTACTTTTATATAAAGTTATATTTTATGTAACAAATTTTTGTTTTAAAAAATACTGTGTATTGAAAAGTAATTAAGAGTCGGTATAACACCCAAACTGTTTCAGAACTTTTTTTATTATTAATTTCTTTTAAAACAATATTAACAATATGTTAAAGCTTGTTGTGATGGTATATGTACACAGAAGAATAAAAGGGGGAAAAACAAGCCATACATTGACTGTGCAACATCAACTCGCTGAACTGACAAACAGAAAGCTTTGCGTCCCCCCCAAAGTAAGACACTTCAATAATTAATCTGTTACAAAATATCTCTGTTTTTACTTTCAAATCATACACTGTATATAAATTTATTTCAATCTATTTGACATCTTATAAAATAAACAACTATATTTTTCTAGACATTTTTTGTATATCTTATATTACAATATCTTCCATGCATTTTCTGCAGAGTATCAGCAGAGATGGCTGTTTATGCCAGGTGTCTTTTTCCGTCTCTTCCCCTCACCTGGGAGAATATAAATGCACTGACAATGTCACCTGTTCAGGTAACACATATACTCACGAATCCATGAGGCCTAAAACCTCATCAGAACAGACACTTTTGGGGAGAAATTCAGGCCAGACAGACAGACAGAGACAGAGACAGAGAGAGAGAGCACAAAGCAAAATTCATAAAGAAGGGGAAAAATAATAAAGTGCAGTCTCCACAACCAGAGCATAGTTTCACAGAGAAAGAGAACAAAGATGAGAGAGTCAGTACAGTTTCAATCTACCACTCACAAGTCAACCCAATCAATGAACACAAACACATCTGCAAAACAATCAAACCTTTAACTCCAGAAACATTTGAGTCTTAATGTTCGAGCCTGGCTGGCAAAATATTTCATGAAAACACCGCAAATGGGCAATAAATGAAGGATGAAAGCTCATTTTGTTCGGGGGACGATGTACACTCTATATGGCCATCACAGTGGCAACTGGCATAAGTCATAACCTTTGGATTTATTTGTCCAACTCATTTTAAAATCAATGTTTTATAGCTCCTCCGTCTGGTTTGTTGCTGGTCCTAGATGGTTGGAGCAGCTAATGACCACCTAGTAACCAGCTCAGACCAGCAACAGTGTACTAAAACACATATTGGGATGGATTCGTAGGTTGAGCAAACTAAAATTTACAGTTAAATCAGACTCAAAATGTAGTTTCTCTCATGTCTAGAGAGACATAAAGAGCATTTGTGAGACCCAAAGATAATCTCAGAGCAGCAGAAGGTGATAAATGGGAGGCACCGATGCAGAACACCCTATACTCCGAAACACACCAACATCTTCCTCATCTTTTCTAGTGTGACTCCAGGGAGACAGAACAGAACGCTGAGATGAACCGGTCATGTAATTCACAAACCTTTCAAAACATTTAGAAATGGTTCAGGTGGGCTGGTTTGGGACCTAAATGAGTTCTTGGGAATGGGGGATTTGATATTGTAAGGTCTGAGTATAGTTTGTAGTATCTGAAACATCTTATTTGATATATTGTGGAGATGTCACACCTGAGAGAGTCGGGGAGTTTCACACTTTCTATACATGACTGAAGAAATGTTGAGGAGATTTGCGTACAAAAATACTTTCGGTTTTCATTCAAACAGCACGCTGGCTTTTACTAAAACGAAGCGTTTCTTGCTAATACAAGAAAACATACCTGACAAAACCTTCTCTTCGATAAGTATAAATTACACACATTCTTGTTTTTCGATTTGCATTGCACAACATACAGAAGGGCACATGATCTTAAGACTCTTTGTTTTAAAAAAACAAAATAATCAGCACCAGCCTTTTAATGTGCTATGCGTGACAGGATGGAGGAAAGTGCAAGCTTGAAATCCCAGCAAAGAAAAAAATGTAAATAATTTTACGATTGTCAGATTTTTTTTTACCTATTTGCGTTCCAGAACATCTAAACATTTTTGCCCTTTGCCTGACACTTCTGTGTCTACATCAACTCCCCAAAAATAATTTAAAAAAAAAAATGTAATGGGGAAAAAATAAAATAAGTATTTTTTACTAATATTTGCGTTGTATTTGTCAAACACTTTGCCCAAGTGACTGGCAGATGAGAACATTTCCATTTCTGCAGCCCTGACATTATGATCGTCTTCAGTCATTCAACCTGCATTACTGTCTTATTTTACATCTTCATTTTTGCAGTTTAACTGCTGCGCCACTTGCACCCACCACCATAAAACAATCACAAAGTCGCTCTACTATGAAGCATAAATTAGACAGAGCTTCATCCCTGTGTAATACTGAAACTAAATCTTAAAGCACATCTGTTGTGCTCATATTGACATCAAATCAATGTAGATTTCCTGTATGGACAGGCAGACCACATGCACGTCTGAAAACTCAAAGAACTGTTTGATCAGGGAAGCCAACATGCTTCTCCTGACGAGCTATGTTTAGGACCTTAATATGAAGTAAAAAGTACTGAAATACGATGCTCCGGAACTCAATATGTGGAGAAACTCTAAGTACAGTACAGTGGATCGAGAAACAAAGAGTAACAGGGATTGAGTTGAACTCAGCAGTAGGAAAGTTTGCCCTAGTGCGAAATTGTTCTTGAATATTTGAAATATACAACGTGATTCAAGTTTCTTTACGTTAGCGTTAACATAACTACAGGAGGGGGCCGAACCTGCTCTGCACATGATAACAGGAAGCCAAATGTTTTTGAAATATATTTGGGTCTTCGCTGAATTATGCCCAGCTGCTACCATCTGCACACACACATGAAATATGATGCATGAAATCAGATCATGACCGTGTATTTTTCTCCTTGTTGGTGGGGTGATTTCTCTTTTAGTTAGTATTTTAGTAGCGGTTGAGGACAGAACACACGCAGCAGAGTTTACACTCTGTCAAGGCATTACTTGATTTGTTGATTTTGTCTTATTTGTGTGTTGAAAAGTCCAGATAACTGTAACATTACAGTACCAAAAACCCTCCACGGCTTTCTGTCCTTTATGTATCGATCAAAGCGCCTGCTTGACTGCTCTGTGACCCCTGTCTCCATGATGGGTCACGTGCATGCGGGCTCCTCCTACGTATCCCAGCATCCTCTGCGTGCAGTCCAGGCCAGGCAGAGTCCTTGGGCCTTGTGGCATTATCACCATCATTTGCTGTCATGGGAACTTTGAGGGACTTTGGCTTGGCTCGGGAACGAGCCTTCCCCTGAGCCGAGAGAGTCCCTTCCCATCATGCCTTTCAGAGCTAAACGCTCAACGCGCTTTCCCGGCAACCTCTCGGCTTTTCCCAGGTGGCGGGGCTACCGTGGGAGCATGTTTCTGTAGTCCGACAGGTTGCCGGACTGTGAGTGATGATGCTGCTCCTGCTGCTGTTGTTGTGGCTGTATGTATCCCACAGTGCTTTGCTGTGGAACGTTAGGGGTGTGGAATAAGGCCTGAGTGGGAGCACTGTGAATCAGACCCTGAGGCTGCATCTTCAAGAGAGAAAGAGAAAGGTTACCATGTTTTTGAGGCATTCATATGAATCAGACAACATGATTCAAGACAAAATGTGACCCTGGACCACAAAACCAGTCATAAGAAGCACAGGTATATTTGTAGCAATAGCCAACAATATGGGTCAAAATTATCAGTTTTTCTTTTATGCCAAAACTCATTAGGACATTAAGTAAAGATCATGTTCCATGAAGATATTTTTTAAATGTCCTACCATAAATATATAAAAAATGGACCCTTATGACTGGTTTTGTGGTCCAGGGTCACATATGATTCGGAACTGTAAATCTGAATCACAATATTGTTTACCTGAAAGAACTGCTGAGGTTGTTGTAGTGGTAAACTGTGTGGGACAGCCGACGGGTGAGGCGTGTAGGTGGGCGTGGCCTGATGGGTGATGAAACTATTATGGGGGATCATGATTGGTGAGGTGAAGACAGGGGAAGGGACAAGCACAGCGTTACAGTTCACCTGCTGCACAGGGAAGGAAGGAGCCATCATCTGCTGGTCCAGAGCATATCTGTAACACACAAAAATTTTTGGTCAATTTCGAATAGTATGCTAGCATACTACTTCTGTTACGGCACATATAGCAAAAGTAGTATGCTCTTCCAAATTTAGCCTATCATTGGGTCTATGACTTCATGTTCATTTTGAATGGGGCCGTCATGCTCAAACACACTCACTTGGTTTGTAGAACAGTTGAGCTGCATTGGGAAGACTGGGCTCCTCCATTGCTGTCTGGTACAAGTGTCTGCATTGGTTGGTTTAGTAGCAGCCTACCAATCCAAAAACACCCCATATGATATTACTGATCAGATCAGGGAACATGTTTGTTATAATTACACATTCTGTAATATTACCAAAATCAGCCAATCATGAAGCTCCCTCACTCTACCAATCAGAAAACACCTCTTATTCTGTTGTTCCCAGTAAAGTCATGGCTAAATTAGATTGTTACTACTCTATCATGGATCTACTGTAATCTATTATTTATTAGAAACAGCCAAATAATAGTTATTTTTTGCTAAAATGGTTAAAATGTCATTAGAAACTGCTATTCCAATCAGAGAAACTGTATTAAAGGGATGGTTGACCCAAAAATAAAAGTTCTGTCATTAACTGCTCACCCTCATGTCATTCCAAACCTGTAAGACCTTCGTTCATCTTCAGAACACAAATTAAGATATTTTTGATGAAATCCGTGAGCTTTCCCCGCATAGACAGCAATGCAACTGACACGTTCAAGGGCCAGAAAGGTGGTAAGGACATCATTAAAACAGTCCATGTGACATCAGTAGTTCAACTGTATTGTTATGAAGCTATGAGAATACTCTTTGTGCGCAAAGAAAATAAAAAGAATGACTTTATTTAACTTCTCTTCCGATTCAGGTGAGTATTTAATGACAGAATTGTCATTTTTGGGAATACTGTTTTGGGCTCCAAGCCTTTACTCTTTTCAACGGAGAATACTATCTCAACAGCTGTTTATAAGCACTATTTATTCATACCACACATTTAATGCTTTCCAAGTATACTTTCATTTAATACTAGGATTAAGGTTAGGATCTTGATTTTTCAAGAGTACTCAACCAAATTTTCACACTGAACATTCGTCTTGGTGTGAACAGGCCTTTGCAATGTTCTTCTGCCACAGTAAACTGTTTTTCTGTGTGTTTAAGGTGTGTTGTTACCGTAGCTGTCCGTCCTGGCTGTAGTCGGTGTGTGTGTGTCTTTGGCAGTGTGTGTCGTGTTGGGTTCGGTGTCCGTGGTTGGGTGAGAACATCATTGGGTTGCTATAGAAGGGTGTGGTGAGACTGGTGTGTGTCTGCATTGGAACACTGACGGCCTGCATGTGTCCAGTCTGAACCAGTCTCTGCTGGCCCTAAACACACACAAAAAAGACATCCATAACTGAATGAGTCTTCGAGTGAGTAATATTTATGTGTGTGTTGTGCATAATTTGTACCTGAGCAGATGAGCTACTGGGCTGTTCTCGGAGTAGTGTGTGTGATGAATGTGAAACACAGTGTTGAGGTTTGGGCTGGGTGCTGTGTTGGGACGGCCTGCCTGGACCCTGCTGCTGCAGACCAGAACTGGCAAATTCTCCCTGTATCGGCTGCTGGAGTAACATCTGCAAACACAGAGACCCAAACATATATATTTCTTCATATTTTTATTTTATTTTCTATGTGTGAAGTATTCTATCTGTTCCCAGTTTGCACAAATAAAGATAACATTGCATGTTTATAATTGTGTGCCTGTACCTGTAGATTAGCAAGTTGTAGTTTCTCTTTAATGTCGTGCAGCTCTTGCTGTTGTGTTTTGATGTCGGCCTGTAGGATGCGTGTCCGCTCTTCTAGCTGGTCTTTCAGCTGATGCATGACGCCTAACTGAGGCTGCTGGAATCTGTAGAGAGATTGTGTCTGCAACCCACATCCACACAGAACACGGAGAACACACACTCAAATATACAAAAGGAGCAAACACATAGCGCTTTTCTACCTTTTGGAAACTGTATACTTCTTTCAAATCCGGCCATTGTTTCCACTGAGCCGAATGAAGACATGACTGACTACATTATTGCATAACATTTTGAAAAGCTATTTTAGAGCTATTTTGAATGCCACTGTGAGCTGCAATGGGCAGAAGTTATAACAAATACAATTTATAGCAATCGACCGACAGTACATTCACAAATTTTATTCAGATAATTTTATTTTAGATGGACAAAGTGGCTGCTTTTTGTATGCATGAGGACAGCATTACAGCCCTGATATTAGCAGTCCTTGGTTTAAGTCCAGCAGGTTTTTGGGACCCATGCAAAACCATTTTAATAGCCCTAAACTGCCATTCCTGCAGCAGAAATATGTGGGAGGTTCTAGATTGGGCACCGTCACCCAGTCGACGGTAAAATGTTGACCGTCTTTCTATTCTAAGATTACAACAAACACTAAACTGTAGCTTTACTTACACATGGAGAAAAAGAAAGATAAAAGAAAAAGTGGGGAAAGAAAGAGAGCAGCTGGGAGAGACTGACCATAGTGGAATGCTGACTGCAGGAGGGGGAGAGTGACGTGGGCTCAGAGGAGCTCTGCCTCTGAATAAGGGTCTAAAACAGAGAGACAAAACATTCAGATGCACACACACACAACCATAAAGTTTGGGGGGGTCAGTAAGATTTTTTTTAATAGGGACATCAGTTGCAAAATTCACTTTTACATGGTGTTTGCATATAAATGTGTCTTACTGTAGCAGTGTGTTGACACAACCAATCTACAATGATGAAAATAAATTTTTTTAAATCCCCCAAAAATCTAAACTTTCTCAATAATCAAAAGCCGTTTTGATTTTCAGAGCAGTATGATGTCATATTGCTCAAGCCCTGCCCACAGGTGCTGACGGACTGTCCCGTATTAGCATTTCCTCCCTCAGCCAGTTGTACACTGATACCAACTTGTGGAAAATGGGCATCCAATGTCCCCTTTTGTAAGGAAATGATGGTTTTATTCAGCAAGGATGCTTTAAATTGAACTAACGTTAGAGTAAAGATTTTTACTTTGTTACTAAAGATCTCTATGTCACATAAATGCTGTTCTTTTGAACTTTCTATTCATCAAGTAATCCTGAGAAAAATCATCACAGTTTCCACCAAAATATTAAGCAGCACAACTGTTTTCATCATGCTAATAAGATATGTTTCTTGAGGACCAAAATCAGCATATTAGAATGATTTCTGAAGGATCATGTAAGATGAAGATGTGCAGGTTTGTACCTTTGATCCACTATGTGGCATTCTGCTGGAACTCTTCTCAGGACCAATGGAAGCAGACTGCCGTGACGACGTGCATGCTTCTGTGTACCTCACCGATGAGTTCGCTATGGACACAGACACACACAGGCTTTCACATGATCACCTGATGTACAAGTGCACCTCATAAGTGCAGAGTGTTAGCCGAGGTGTGTTTGTACTTACACGCAGAGTCAGACAGTGCTGTGTGCGATGATTTTCTAGAACTTTGTGATGACACTGATCGAGCGCTGCTGATTCTTTCCCGTGTAGCTTCTAAAGGAGGACACATGTCCAAAAACACCTCCTGCTCCTGCACACAAAACACATTAAAGGAATAGTTCAGCCAAAAATGAACATTTGCGGTCATCCTCAATCCATCCAAGATAAAGAGGAGTTTGTTTCTTCATTGGAACAGATTTGGAGAAATTTAGCATTACATCACTTGCTCATCAATGGATCCTCTGCAGTGAATGGGTGCCGTCAGAATGAGAGTCCAAACAGCTGAAAAAAAAAAAAACATCACGATACTCCACACCACTCCAGTCCATCAATTAATGTCTTTTGAAGTGAAATGCTGCATGTTTGTGAGAAGGAAATCTATCATTAAGGCATTTTCACTTTCAACCATCAGCAAAATCCATAATCGAAAATCCATCATAATACTTCCTCCAGAGAAAAGGTTCATCCCCTGTTGTCCTCTCACATCAAAACACAGCAATATATTTGTTCAGAACTGTTTTGGACTGTTTTTGCTTGTAAATGGTGCTTGATCTGCACACATTTCTCTCTTGATTCAGACAAGATGAATTTTTTTAATGGAGAAAGCAATATTATGGATGAGGACTGGTATTTTAGCAAGTAGCAACGGTTTGAAGTTAAAAACGTCTTAATGATAGATTTGTTTATTAAAAACAGTTTTTTATAAGAGCTTCATAAGTTGTTAAGTGATGGACTGGATTCATGTGGATTACTTGTGGATTATTGTGATGTTTTTATCAGCTGTTTGGATTCTCATTCTGACGGCACCCATTCACTGCAGAGGATCCATTGGTGAGCAAGTGATGGAATGCTACATTTCTCCAAATCTGTTCCAAAGAAGAAACAAAATCAATCTACATCTTTGGTAATCTATCAATCTTAAACATGAAAAACTATTTATTAAACAAACACCACTGTGTGTGTTTCCTGGGCATGTGTAGACCTTGATTGAGGATGTTGCCATATCAGATGAGCTTTCCTCCAATCCAATCTCTCTCCTTCTTTCTGCTCGGACTTCAGCATAGCTTTAGATAGAGAAGAAGCATTTGTTTTTACTTCTCATTCGTTTAACTCATATATTTATTGTGAAAAGCTGTAGACTGATCCTGGAATGTAGTGAATTTTTGAGAATATGCTCAATTTTGAAGGCCAAACTAAGATTTGTAGTAACACAATCTAACCACTAGATGGAAACATAAGTTAAACAAAAACAACAGATACTGTAAAACACTTAATTAATTGTGCTGACTAGTTCAAGAATATTAACTACTCTTGAAGTAGTTATGAACAGGCATTTATACACAGATATCTGTAAGTTACAAATATTATTAATCCTAAAATATTTAAAAA